CATGATCTCAAGGTCCTGGGATAGAGCCCCACCTCAGCTCTGCACAAGCATGGAGCCTGCTTAAGATTCTTTCTCCCTCTGCCCCTCCCCCTCTGCTCACATGTACTTACTCTAAAAAAAAGAAAAAAATTAAAAACATAAAAAGTTTAGCCATTAAATTGGAGTTTCAAGTAACATGAGAAAATGCTTTTTATCATGTTAAGTAAAAAAATATATACCTAATATGTCAACTATAAAAAATCTATGTAATTAAAGACTAGAGAGAAATACACCAAAATATTTCATTTAGACTGAATGCTTTGTTGAACAAGCATGTGGCATATCTTGTTTTCAACTCAATGCCATTTATTCAGGCTAGCAACGAGCTTAGTCTCCCCACAGACAGTGGTGGTTTCTTGGACCTCCAGGGCATCTCTTTAAGGGGACTGACTCAGCTGGGGGGAACACCCTCTTACCCCTCTTTCCTCTTCCTCCTATCTGTAACATGATCTTTAGGTTTGAAGCCATGAAGATGGTAGAACAGAAAGATGGATAATCCTGAATCTCTGCCAACTCTGGGGAGACTCACAGCAGCCCTGGGACGCCTGCCTTCTTTTATATAACAGAATAAACTCCTACTTTGTTTAAGCCACTGGACGTAATCTGTTTCCAGCAGCTGAGCATGGCTCCTAAATAACACAGCATTAACAATTTCAGGCAACGAGTTTTAAAACTTAGATGCCTTCCACTTAAAAATCTTTCAAATTGTGGGGTGTCTTGCTGGCTTGGTCAGTAGAGCAAGCAACTCTTGATCTCATGGTCATGAGTTCAGGCCCCACACTAGGCCTAGAGCCTACTTTAAAAAAAATATATCTTTCGGGACACCTGGGTGGCTCAGTCCTTAAGCATCTGCCTTCGGCTCAGGTCATGATCCCAGGGTCCTAGGATCGAGTCCCACATTGGGCTCCTTGCTCAGTGAGGAGCCTGCTTCTCCCTCTCCCTCTGCTGCTCCCCCTGCTTGTGCTCTCTCTCTCTCTCTGACAAATAAATAAATAAAAATCTTTAAAAAAAATATATCTTTCAAATTGTTCCTCATTGCTTTCAGAAGTGTCCAAATGCTACAATATGTTAAGGCCTTCTCATCAGTCCCATACCTACTTCTCCAGCCTTAAGTCTCACCACATCCCCAGAAGGAAATTTATTTAGGTTTTCTGAATGAACCAAGTTTTCACGTCTCTACATTTTTTGTACATGGTGCTACTTCTGCGTAAAACTATGGTTCTCTCAAAGTGCGGTTCTCCAGCTGAGCATCAGCATCACCAGGAAACTTGTTAGAAATGTAAGTTCTTGGGCCCCACCCCAGACCTTAAGAATCAGAAACTCTTAGAGAGTGGCCCAGCAAACTGTTTTAACAAGTCCCCCAGGTGATTCTGATACACAGATAAAGTTTAAGAACCACTGGCTTAAAACACTTTCTAGGGGCGCCTGGGTGGCTCAGTTGGTTAAGCGACTGCCTTCAGCTCAGGTCATGATCCTGGAGTCCCTGGATCGAGTCCCTGGATCGAGTCCCGCATCGAGTCCCGCATCGAGTCCCGCATCGAGTCCCGCATCG